CATTTTTTCTGTTTTTTACTTCCCTGAAAAAGTTTGATACTTTCTAAAGGTGATAAAATTTACCTGGGCTTCCATTAGGATTGAGAGGGTATTTGGTGGTTGGTTTTTCTTGCTCATTAACATATCTGATAGCAAAACATTTGCTCTTTTCTAAGGCTGATTGAATGTGTTCGTCTCTGAATACAAACCGTCCTGTAACAAAAAAAGGACATAATGTCAATCAATCTGAAAAGATGTCTAAACCCAGCAACTGAAACATTATGTGTGTAAAACTTAATCTTGAAAAGGGATGTCGGAAAAATTTAAATGTTAAATTTTGAAAGACTGGTTTCCAACTGAGGTTTGCTTGAAAACTTTACGATTTTCAGAATATTTGCAAAACTACCGAACTTTTGAAACACTATTTCTTCCTTTTGTCCTTTTTGTCTGCTAAATTTTACAGACAAGATTACGAGAGGACGAATGTCCATTGAAGCAACTAAAATGATGGTGAAACTGCAGTAATGCATACTACAGTTTCGCTTCCTGTCATATTTTATTTTATACATGGAAAACTATCAAACGTATTTTTTTTAAACTTCGGTGAGTTTTCTTCCCTGTGTAAAGAATATTCCTTGAAAATTTCATGCCAAATGTTGGTTTGATCTCCTTTTAAAAAATAAAATAGGAGTAGAAATTTTGAAACAGCACTACCGAGTAAGGAATTTTTGCAGTTTCAACATCGACATGTAAAAGCTTGAGGGGAAAAACAAAAGGTTTTTGAACTAACCGATAAAACTGGTTTGAGTGATTCCTTAATTTTTATGTATTTTACACGGAATTGATGTACTGATTTAGGACAAGCAAAATTATTTTACAAATACGATTAATATTTGCTTCAATTTTAAAAAATTACACTAGAACCATAGAAGCTAGAGAGAAAATAAAGGATATATTACCTTCACCATGTGCCACCCAAACTCCCAGGACATAATCTTCCATTCCATTCAGGAGGATGCTTGGAGATTTTTCAATTTTGACAGTGCTAAATCTGCATTCAAATCTGCCAGAATTGTTATGACTGAGAATAACACTTGGTGAATTTTTTTCATCATCTGCAAAATCAAGAGATCAGAATGAAGGATACCAAGAATAACTTTCGATAAATTGCTTAAATTATTAGTTATGATGTGAGAAACTTTTCTAACAACTTGAAATTTTATTGTTAGTTCATTTATTGAATTTACAAAATCAAAATATTATGTACTGAGCTGTTAATCTAGCAAGACGGCAGCCAAATACACACATGAAGACTTAAAAGCGAGGCAAAATTGACCTGGAATCACAAACTAAAGAGATTTTTCTCAACTAAGACTAATGAAAAATTCCCAGATTTACACTGTCTAAGGACGAAAGACATGGCTAAACAATATGTAAATTATATGCTTCAGTGGAAAGATGGCAGAGGTGTGAATTTTTAGATGCTGTGATGGATGAAAAAAATTTTGGAATTGTAAAGAATGAATTTTCGTTTTGCTGGAATTTGAATGAAATTCAATTACAGAGAATTAATGACTATTAAGTTGGATTTTGACACTTTTTAAACTTACTTTGTACGCCAACCCAATTCAGCAAACACATCAATTGACAACCGTTACAAACACCCAAACTAAATGTGTCTTTACGATTGTAAAATCGATCCATTTTTTCCTTTAAAAATAGATTTAACTGTAGACTAGCCGCCCATCCTTTTGCGGAACCCAGAACATCTGAAAAAATTTGTAAAAAAATACAGAGCTAAGATAATTTTTCTGAGAAATAATGATGAGAAAACTTTGCATGAAGTATATGCATGTTCAATCATAACAATTCTATAGAGATGGAGCTGATAAGTTATAGTGAAATTTTTCTGTGAAAAAACTGATAATTTTTGCAGAAAAGTTGACGATTAATGAGTATCTGTTGCTCTACATATTGGATATGCACTTTTTGCAATTGTTCATAGATTTTGCAAATAATAACATAGTTTTACGAAAAAGAAAATTCGAAAACACTGTACGCATAAAAGTGTGACAAGAGTGAAAGATAATAACTAAGATCTTTTTCAGCTTCTAGGGAAAAAAAATGATGGGATTGGCCCCATCAGGCAACCAGGGAAAAAATTCATTCTCTCTTTCAGATGCAAAACAATTGAATGACGTTAAAGAGGTGGTACATACTTATCTGGACCGATTACTCTATTCATCCGAAGAAACTTAGTTTAGGAACAAAACTTAAAGGCAACAGAAAAAATGCCAAAAAGTCAAGAATGGAAAGAATAGAAGTGAAGTTGATTCTGAACTTTTCCAGGTAGAGAGTAAATTTATAATAAATTACTAAAAATAATAGAAATTTACAAAACCTGCATAGCTAAATCCTCCAGGGAATATAAGACCTCTGAAGATGTCAAGATCTATCTTGGAATCCAGTAAATCTTGCATATGAATATCCCAAACTTCTAATCCTGCCATGTACAGAGCAGCTGCCATTTCTCGATCACCATTTGTTCCTTCTTCTCTTAATACGGCTACTTTGTGTTCTGGAATAGTGAGAAAAGAGCGATAGAAAAATGGCAAAGGATAAAATGAGCAAAAATTACATTTATCGCAATTGCAAAACGTAGAGATCAGCATTTGGAGAAATTTGCATGTGAGCATTCTTTGAATGATGTCATAGACTTGTTTCATTCATGAAGGATACCTCCAAAAAAAGAAAATTTGAGATGCAACAGTTATTACAGTTACGATTCACTAACATAGCAGTCTTTCAATGTTTTTTTATTTAACTTGAAATTATGGTAATAATTAAAATGTTCCGAGTCATAAGTTGTCCAATGAAGCTATTTAATTTTAATTACTCTCTAGTTTCTTAGTATTTGCGCAGATAATTTACCTAACACGCACTTTCATCAGTATAAAAGGTCCTAAATTTTGCTCAAATCTGCTGTGACAGTTCATGGCTGGAATAGTGGTGGTTGAAATGAAGAAGAAGAAGAAGAAAAATCTTCAAGACTCTTTTGACGGATAAAAATAAAAAATGACAATAAAAGAAAAAAATTCGACCTACTTGTTGATGAAAGAGTTCGAGGGATTTTTGGTTTTGCGGAAAATTTGTAGACAGGAGCTCGCCGATGTATTAATGAATCAAATTCTTCAAAAGCACACTCAGCATTCATTTGTCGACACTCAAGCCGGTAACTGGTTTCTTCCCATAAAGAGAAGAAAATGAATAGAGGTCCTTTCACAGCAATTGTTTCGCCAATTTTGATTTGAATCTATTCGGAAGAAATGTAGGGGGACAAAATTTAAATTCGTGATAAAGAATAGATTTTCTTTGACAAATATAGGCCTTCTTACTTCAATATTTCATCCTAGGTATGTACAATAATTCTTCTGGTTGTGTCTTTTTCTTCAAAGAGAAACAGTTAAAAAACTGAAAACTTACGACTGTCCATTTTTCCGCAAAATGTAACATGTACAATTGGACAAGAGAAGCGAGCCACAAAAATAAGTCATGGGAGGGGGGAAAAAGAAAAGAAATGAAAGAGAATAAAAACGATAATGTCCACAAGAGGGAAAAATTCAGGGCTAAAAATTTAAAATTGAAATGCTAATTTAAAACAGATGTATGATGATTTAAAGGTTTACATAAAGGTCCCTTTACTTGTGGTTCATCTTGAATAAGAAGTGACTTTCTTCTATTAAAAAGTGTTTTCCTCACAAATAATACTTCCGTAAAAATTATTACCATTCGGTTAAAAATTTTCTTTTCTTCATCTTTTAAGGTAACTACTGTCATTGCCATTGTAGCTATGACACACAACTATCGTTGTCATTACAACTTTTTTGGCTTATGAAGTAAGTACAAGAATGCATAAGAAAGATGGAAATTCTTCTGAGATAGGGAAATTATGAGATAATAAAAATTGAAATCTTACAGGAGATGACATGCCGAACTGCGCAGATGATCCAATATGGTAACACGGAACTTGACTTGTCTTGAATGCGTCGAGCACATATTGCAAGTTGGCTGCATCAGTTTCGAGGACCCAGCCAATTTCTTCGGCAAATAATATATCAATGATGGATGACTTTTCATTTAATTTATGACTTAAATCTACTGAGAATCCACACATTCCTGCGAAAGCCATTTCTAGTAAGCAAGTAACAATTCCACCATCACTTACATCATGTCCTGCAGTCACTTTTCCCTCTGAAAAATTAAGACATGTTATCAAACGGTTTCCATTATTAATTATGAGTTTGATGAACTTATTTAAATTTCATTATTTCCTATGGACATACAAAAACGTCAAGATTAAAAATTGGGAAAACTTCATTTTTAGGCTTTCTTTATTTCAGACATACACTTGTAAACATTGCTTTTTCACTATTCTTTGATGGGACTAAATTTGGGCAGAAAATGAAAAAATGAAACAAAAAAAAAAAAAGCAATGAGACAAAAAAAAACAACAATGCGAAAATTAAACAATGGAAAAAAAACGAGGTGAGGTAACAAACTGAAGAAAACGACAGGCGCCATAAAACGCAATGGCCTTTTTCATTTCATTTTTCGTGAGTTTGAGTTTACTATTTCGATTTATTATACAATTAGTGGTGTCTTGTCTTAGAGAATGATATTTTAAACATAGTTGATGATAAAAATGATTTTTATTAAATTTTTGACTGGCAGGAAACAAATGACTTCTTAAAATTTTTACTACGGAGAAAATCGTTTACGAGAAAACACAAGAAATTCTCATTCTCATTACTTGATTCCACACTAATTTTGAAATTATACAAACAAATTTAAAAAACTGAGCTACAAGAATCCTTGAAATACTATTAAGAAATAAGTATCTTTTATCAGGTTCTGTACAACTTTAAAAAAGTTTAGAAGGCAGAGAAGAACAAAAAATACACTTAATTGAGGCAATATTTTTTTCATGTTGCTTTTTGCACTATATGCGGGAAAATTCTGAATTATTTGATGATCTTTGGTGATTTTACACCAATCTTAGAGAAGGAGGAAAAATGTGATTAAGAGGTGGGCACTTTAGAGGCAGAATATGTTTAAACGAGCATCTTAATGTCCTTTTCTCTTTAAAACTGCAGGACAACTTTATTACACACCTGAAATGAGGCTCTGTGTAGTTTTGAATGCAGATTTGAAAACTGACGGTGATTCCATATCTGGAACACTATCTCCCAACTGCATATAACATTGAGCTAATGCCGATCCGCCTAACCTGTTGAAACCATTTGATAAATCAACCAATACTAGTTCACCATGCCGATTACAAGCAGGCAATTTAAAATCAGGAGTAATTTTCTTCCTGATATCTGGACAAGGTGCATATGTGGATACAACTAGAGTACCTGGAAAAGTTAAAATCAAGGCATCATTAATAAAAAGGTACTTTCGATGACAGGTTCGATTATTACTTTAAAATTTTCGATTATTGCATCTGATACTTGCAATTCTACATCTGCGAGCCTTTAGTAACAATCTTAATAATATGTTACATTCATAAAATACCAAAAATGAAAATTACGAAAAATCCTGGTCATGGTACCGGAAATAATTCATAGTGTCATAGAATACTATTGAAGATTTCATCTACCCTCTTCACTTAGAAGAGTCCGTTGCCATTGACAACCAATGGTGTTGACTATTGTTTTCAATCTTGAATGTAAAAAGGGGAGTTATTAAAGTTGTTTCATAACCCTTTTTGTAAATATATATTTTAAAATTATAAATTGGATTCCATATTGTTATCAAAAGATTTAAAAATGTTTGATATGAATGACACGGGTGTAAAATTAGAAAAAGCCAAAATCAGACAAACAAAAAAAACAAAGCAACAGAAAGAAAAATCTGGATAAATCAACGGGCAAGATCTACAGAAATTTCAGAAAGTATGAAAAATTATAGTTTGTACAAATTCTGTCTTTCCCATTTTCTCACTTTGAGACTATTTTTAAGTCAGAGATTCTACATTAGAAGCGCCAATATTTAGAGAATTTCACACTTTGAATATAAAAGTCAATTTAATGCGTACAAACTTCTACCTAAAAATTGCATCTTTAAAGTGACCTTGATGATTCTGATTGACTGCATGTTCTCATTTATTAATGATGAAAGGAGCTGAGGAAAATTTGGAGTCTAGCTCAATTGAAGGCAAAAGTGGAATACCATCCCAAAAAGCAGATGGGAGCCAGAGAAAGGTTAGAAAGCCAGAAAAGATGACTAGAAGACAGGAGAAAAAACAAAGTTTCATGCAATCTAGTTGGCCAACCGTAATTGATCTCCAGCAGTATGAACGACGTAAATATTATCCAGAAACTTATTACAGCAATAAAAAGAAAGAGAATGTTCTAATATGGTTGGCTAATAAATTCAGTAAAATTTGTTTGGCGGCAGATTCACAACAAAGACCAATTCTTTTAACAGCAGAGAACGAGTGTAAAATACAAAAAATGGTCTGCACAACTATTCGACCGACAAAAATAAGGTATCCGGAATTCTACCGTTGGCAAGGCTGTGCCCAATTTATTGCAGACAATATTGATTATGAACCTCTAGAGAAACCAGTTATGTTTCCAGAGTACATTCGATCACCAGATACCGTTTTGAGTAGACAGAAAGCAAACTGTTTTGAGCTGGCTATTTTGCTTGTTTCTTGCCTAATTGGTTCTGGTTATGATGCGTACGTTGTTTCCGGATATGCAACACGAGAGGTTTGCATCAATGATCAAACTAGAACAAAGTGTCCTTATATTCCTCAAAAAGAGACTCGAAAGGAGGAGACAGTTCAGAGAAAAGAGAACAAATACATTCCAAAGCCACCGCCGGACTTCTCCAGTAAGTTTCAGAAGATGATGAAGGAGCGTGAACTAAAGAGAATAGCTGATTTAGAAAAGGAAAACAGAGAAAGAGAAAAGAGACGAATTGCAGAGTTGGAAAAAATTCCTCCTGATGATATTCATGGTTATCGGCGCCATGGTTGGGCTCTGGTTTTGAGTGGTGCCCGTGGCATTCAAGAGCCGTTTTACATAGAACCATCGACTGGTGTGAGGTTCTCTACAAATGATCCTCAATACCTGAGAGTGGATTCTATTTGGAATTCATGTAACTACTGGTTTCACTTGGCGAAAATAAATCCATGCCACTTTGACTTGGACGACACTAATAAATGGAAAAGATTCATTAATGAAAATCCTTGGCAGGAGTACGGTGAGGATGATGAAAGTCATAATTTAGATTATAATGATACCATCCTGGCAAGAAAACACATGGATGTATTGAGTTCATGGGTTAAACCCCTTGAAATATCTTGCAAAAGGTATCAAGAGCGTTACCCCAACGGAGCTAAGAAAATTTATTTTTATAAGGCAAAGTGTCAATTGTACGCGCCTTACGTTCTCGATAGTGGGCTCATTCAGAGTATAGATATCTATGAGGACTTTGAGTGTAACACTAAAAAGTACAAATACGAACTATTTGAAAACAGATATGATTGCCTGTACAAAATAGAGACAGACATTCAAACTGGAGATGTGGTGGAGTATTTCATGAAAGGTCGATCAGATTCATTAGAACAATACAGATATAGAAACAATAATTCAAATTCTTCGTCTGAATTGATGCTTCAATTTTACCACACTGCATGTTACGATGGTCTTTATAGAATAACGCTAAATATCACTAGTATGACCATGGAGTATTTAAATCGAGAAGACCTGCTGCGGTATAAATACTGCGAATTCAAAACAAATGAGGAGAACAAACAGAAGAGGGCCATCCTCAGCATTAAAGAAATGTTCGATAAAAAATCGAAGAATGAACTCGATGGTAGCATAGCAATGAGGGGGTTTGATTTAAAGAATGACAGAATACAAATTCGGTATCATCACAGTGCTGGACAATTAGTATCAAGCGCAAAAACTTTCCAAAAGATGCTGGTGCCTGACAGTAATGAAATCACATTCCAGCCTGACATGTGTATAGGATATGAATTTGATACTGCAAGTAAAACGCACGAAGACCTTCATGCACTGTTTTTAAAGCTCCTGAATATTGAGAGACAAACAATTGCAAACGTCAAAAATAGTTTCGAGGAGGTTGACAAATTTTTAGCGGCAAGAGAAAAAGAAAGGATCGCACCGAAGTTAAAAGTTTCCATATTTGATCCACTGAGAAATGAGAGGATAAACCAAGAGATGAAGAAGAAAGAGGAGGTCGATTCGCTTCGCGCTAGAAATGAAATTGAGGGAGATTTAGATTATTTGCTCCCATACTTCATCAAATTTGAAAACCGGAGAATGTCTTACGATGAAGCACAACAGTTGTACAAGAAATGTCTGGGCGACTTTGAAAGTACTCAACTCAAAAGAGCTGCTATCTTACGAAACAAACTAAGTAATATGAAGGAAAAATTGATGAAGAAAGAGAATGAGTATGAAACTAGTGAGGATAAGGACTGTGCACAAAGCAAAGTTCTTGGCTCAGAAATAGAACAAATTAAACAGAACATTCATGTTCTTGATGCTCGTTTGAGCAGACATAAAAAACTGACGACAACAAGACATAAATTTTTGGCGGAAAAGCTGCTTAAGGATCCGAGACTTAAAGTCCTTGATATAGGTGGCCGATAAGAATTTGAATTTTCATCATAACTCAAAATGAATCTGTGTGTTTATCTGACAGAGAACTTTTTTGAGAGATTAGCTCAGTAGTGAAAATTTTTACCAGGGGCTTTGATGGTTTCAACGTTTACTCTTGCTGCCATGCTTAGAGAATCTTTACCACCATCAACAGCAATCCCAAGATCGCGCATGACTTCGCACATGGCCTCGCAGGCGGAGTAAAGTTCCGCACCTTCTCCCGGCAATTTGGCAGCCCACATCCAATTTCCACTACACTTGACATCCTACAACAGCAAGGAATATAATCAGACAAGACCCTTTCGGCTGACAGAGACTAGTTTTGAAAGAGCAAATGGACGAGATTTGGACGATTAATTAATAAAAAATTTAGATTTGTAAATTTCTATGGATTTGAATATTTGATTTTATATTGGAATTTTGTTGATATTGTTTGACCTAATTTTTTGACCTCAAATTTTTTTTTTTTTTCCCAACAAATCATAAAAATGTAAACTGCATTTTTGGAGATTCACCTTGCAAATAATTCAATATCAAAGCGGAATAAAAAAGTGATGGAAATAATTATTTGCTTGAGTTTTTGGTGTGATTATGGTTTCACAAAATAATGAACATGTTTTTTCTTAACTTGTGGGGCAAAAATGAAATGACAAACGCGAATCAGTACCTGAGTTCATTGGCATATTCAATTCAAGATCAATAGATTTGCAGCAAACTCACATTTGCTGACAATGACTCTTCTCAAAATTGGGAGTACCGGCTGTTACCTTTGCTAGAAATTCCATAAGCATAGAGGATATACTTACAGCTAGATCCGAGATGACAGCAAATACTAGATTTGTTAGGGACTCAGCCACTGTCATACGAGCACCTGCAGCAGCATTGAGAAGACCCTTGATTGGCTGTTCACCAATGGCAGATGCTATTCCAGCCTAGAAAAAATACACAGTCAATTAACTTGATATAATTTTAGTTTAAATAAATATGTTAGATCCATTGCATCCACCTTTTTACATCTATAAGTACGCACATTTCAAAATGTAATCTAACAATTACATAATTTTATAAAGGACCCCGCACACCTCTTATGGGAAGCTGCACCATGAAGGATTGCTTTCTGACTTATGTCATTCGATTCTCCTCAAGATGCTGATCAAAAGTTATAATTGCGCCAACTTTCTGCGATGCACCGTTTTCGCAAAAAACCTATGAGAAGATTCAATTATTCGGTGATAAAAAGTCAGAAAGATTCCTCATTTCAGAGCTCGATTGACAAGCGGCTGTGTGTCAACAAGGAAATCATGGGGACTCCCGCACCGAGCGGCAGTCTTATCTCGGATTCCGCACGCCGTTTTGCTCGACCACCATCCAAATCAGATTCTTGAGGAGCATAAGAACAGGAAAGTCTGAACGTCTACCGGGCAAGTGCGGGAGGGAGATAGCCCCTGAGTTGGCAGGTACAGATAAGAAGATGGACATGCGCTACGTTTTTTCCTTATTCACATCGGGCCTGTTCTCAAATGCTTTGTTCTTTTTTAATCATAGTCGCCGAATAATTGAATCTTCTCATGGGTTTTTTGCGAAAACGGTGCATCGTAGAAAGTTGGCACAATTATAACTTTTGATCAGCATCTTGAGGAGAATCGAACGACATAAGTCAGAAGGCAATCCTTCATGGTGCACTTCCCATAAGAGGTGTGCGGGGTCCTTTTTAGAATCTGAGGAGTGTATGAATTTTGAGCATTACTTTCATCTCAAAATGACTTGTGCGATTTCCTCTGCTCGCATGAAGTATAGGTTACTCAACTGGCATTATTTTAACTAGAAGCTGATGTGCCATGCTTTTATTCTGGTGTTTGGATACTTTCAAATTTTTCAAAACTAGTTATTAGAAAGAGGGCTACTTCCGCCCAACTGTTGGGCTAATAGTTACCAAAACGCTTACCTTTAAATTTGTGCATACCATCAGAGCATTTGAACAACAGGATTGATTTACGTTTAATTCAATTAAATANGCATCTATGTTTGTTTCATCATCCTCCGATAAAATAATTTTACCGTTTCCTGTGACAACTCCAACAAAATTGACAGGACATCTTTCCCTCGCCCCGATTGTCCGCAATATTTCAACATGTTCAGGTCTACACAGCAAAGCATCATTCTCTTGATATTCTGCTCCCCATAGTTCCAGAGTGCTTATGCTTGGATCTCCCAGTTGAAATTTTTTTGTGAAAATGACTGCACCTGTAGGCTCAACAAGTTCTTTGAGTACATTCCCATTGCCTCCAGCACCTTGGTCATGGATACTAGTGATAGGATTGTAATCAGGGAGCTCAAGGCATGCTCTTAGGACACGATTCATCTTCTGTTCCATTTCAGGATCTCCTCGTTGTACAGCGCCGAAATCTAATTCTGCCTTATTGTCTCCCTGAACTTCTATGGAGCTAGCTGCTCCTCCGCCTACTCCAATCCTATAAACGGGGCCTCCAATTTTAACGACCTGCATGCCAGGCTCTGGAGGTAATTTTTCGGTCATATTCTCATCCATGGTTCCTATACCACCACTAAACATGATGGGTTTGATCCATTCTCTTCGTTCGCCAGATGAGTCAGCAAGTCCGAAAGATCTTGTAAAGCCACTGATCAAAGGTTCACCAAATTTATTACCATAATCAGAAGCACCATTGCTAGCTTCGATCAATATATCTAAAGGAGAGGCGAAGTTTTTCGGGTATGCAAATTTTTTGTTCTCCCATGGTAATTTGTAATCTGAAATAACAGATAAATTCACAAATTAAAATTGACGCATAACTTAGACATGAGTTGACAAAAAACTAAGTTAAGAATGAAGTATGATACAGATCTATTCATATAGGAAAAAAACAGGATTAATTTCAGTGAATCAATAATTGTGATATCAGGACTGATAAGATTCAATTTCATGAATACTTTATTACAACTATTAAAAACAATTATCTTAGCTTTTGACATCATTATTTTAGTCAGAAATGCCATTGGTGACATAATTTTCAACCACATCCCTTAATCAAAAATAAGGACGTGACTACATCTTTCCTCCTCACAGTTGAAGGAAGGCTTAACTAATTGAAAGACTTCGAAGCCACTTAGTGGAGCCTTCAGTTTAAATTGAAAGGATAAACATGCTGTTTTTGACCTATCAAATAAAATGCATGGTAGACATAGGAGGGATTAAACACAGTTTTTTCTCAGTAATGTTAGGACTGAGCAGGAAGAGCAGTAAAATCCTATTTTTGAGAGTCAGATTCATACAACATTGTCACCTGCAGTTATGCGGCAACCTGAGGTTAACCATATGTATTTCACTACGCTGTTTAGATGAGCTTCCTTTCATTATTTTCTGAAGGGGATAAAACAGCCAAGTGATTCTACATTAACAAACATTTCATTACATTCTCTATATTATCAAACGTGTTACTCACCAGGTATAAATAAATTTCCAACAGAGTATCCTGCGGTTCCCGCAATTGTATAACCACCTCTGCCTACTGCTTGTACATCACGGATGCGACCACCAGTTCCTGTCGTGGCACCACTGAGAGAAAGAAAAAGCACACTTGATTGATACTTCCAAAGCAAGATCAAATAAAATCAAATTAGAACAGAAAGAAACAGAGGTACCAAAGTGTGGGTGCAAATCAAATAAACAGGCAAAACGAAAGAAATAAGGAATCAAAAACTGAAATTGCAATATTAGTTTTTAAACCTCCAAAATTTTTTAACCTACAAAAGGTTTAATAATCTAAAAAAACGTTGAATAGAAAATGAATTTGACGTAGGTTTTAAAATGCAATGGCGGTTTTAAAAACAAATATTGTTTGAGTATATGATTTCTGATATATTTTGTAACATTCATTCATTAAAAATATACATGGTAGAAGAGAATAAATCCTGAGTACATATTCTGTTTCATCAACATTGATATTTTCCCAAAATTTTAAAGAACTAAAAATGCGCTCACACAGTGAGTTAAAATTATAGCTGAAATTCTTGTAGGCAATGTTTTTTAGAACGAAAATACATCCTAGATGAATGTGACTGGAGTATACCTCAAAATTATGCATATTCTATAGGAAAGAACTTGATAAAGAAAAATTCTTGATGATTTTACAAATGATCTTGGAATCATTCTTGATTAAAAATCACAAATGTAGATGCATAAAACTCATAATCATTACTGACCAGAAGGGGGCAACACCAGTGGGAAAATTGTGAGTTTCAGCAGTGAAAATAAGGTGCAATTTCCCTTTTTCAGTGCAAAGGATACTGGGTTTCGATGGAGAAGAGGCCTTGAACTTTGTGACGGTGAATCCTTCAATGGCACTGTAATAGTTGAAAGGATATTTGAATTAGAATATAGGAAAAAATTAAATTTTGCTTAGAGAGAAGGCATGTTTGCTGTCAGGCCTCAAATTCAGAATGTAGAGGGAAACTCAAACACTACACTTATATATGTATAGTAGAGGGAAGAACCTGTTTTAAGCACTTCTTTCCGCAGTAGATATACTGTTCAGTGCTGCACTAGTTAGGATTTATTGAAAATCAACATTAGGCGCACTTTAGGTCTGTTTAGTCCCTGGAGGAAGCTGGACATAATCTACATTATTCTAAGTTTCTACCCTGATGCCTTTTAAAAAAAGCTAAATATCTCCCAAAAAAATATGACATCGATTCCTCTCAGGCTGGTGCTTAAATTACCAGCTGAGCGGTATTGAGTAGATTAAAGTCTGACCTATTTTTAAACAATAAAAGCATTATGAAACATTAATGGACTAAGCAAGTCAATTTATGATTTATTTTCATACCTGCTATTGTCACTGAATTTAATTACGTTGTTTTGGTTGGAACATTCCTGGGTTTTAAAGATCATATCCAATAGAGATTCTTTTTTCTCCTTTCTGTTCACGATCATTTTACCCTGAAATCAACACAATAATCATTTTTAAAGACTTTGATGATCAATAAACATTGACTTGTCTAAAAGGTTTGAAGCTGTCATCTTAATGAGATGAGAAAATTTTGTGAGTGCACGTACATATTTTGGTACGGTTTAGCTTCGGGTCACAAAAGTAACACATTTTTAATTAGTTATTTCTGGATGAAGCACATTAAAAAAATTACAAATAAAAAAAATTGATAAAGATTATTTGGGGGTTAAAAAAAGAAAATGATACTGTAAAACTAAAAAAAGCCTTTGTTTAGGGGGAAGGTGCAGGAATCAACCAGCTTTTCCCAGAATTTAAAACACTGAAAAACACCATTGCTGCGTTACTAATGGTATTGAGATGAAAATGTCCGAAAGATTTGATCCTCTAAGACTTTCCCTCTAAAACCTGATTTGCGTTAGAAAATAATAAATGTTGTTGACTTGATAACAAAGGCAATCATTAATCTTTAGAACTTTATCCCAAAACTTCTGTATAGTTTCTTCTCATGTCGGAGTCATAAAAAAGTTGAGAGTTTTGTGGTGTTACCAAACTGGACAGACACAAGCAAATTCAGTTACCTAGTAGAATGTTAAATTTTTTGTATTGAACAGATGACATGCAGTTTTCCTTAAAGGAATTTATGAACTTACTTTGAAAAACCAATGTCGACTATGCTCACTGTTAGACTGAGCCAGATCAAAACATTCCACACTTGTTGGATTACGCTTCAATTTCTTTTGAAATAACTCTGTGTAAAAGTCCAAATCCCACTCATCAAACGCTAAGCCTGTAAAAAAAAAGTACCAACACACAATTCACAAAAACTGAAATTTCTTGAGTGCAGCTTGAGATATTTTCCCTGTTCCTGGATAGAACAGTTAAACCGACCGGCTGAGTAAAAAATTACAGAGCCTCGAGTAATTTCTCACAACGCAAGATAAATGGCGATGATATAAAGTCCCATGGGCATTACTATGTTTCTTCTGTCGACATGAACATTAACCAAAGGTTTCTTTCTACAGTTTCCTTTGTGGTTGAATCCCTTCAGGGACTTCATAACATCTAAGTAAGTGGAAGGAAGTGCAAAATAAGTCTTAAAGGGTTTGAATCTTTTTATTAAAGTATGCCTCGGGGTCTTAGAGAAGTCGGCTAGAAGCTTGGGATCAAAACATTTCCTGATTATCAAAGAGGCTGATTTTTCACATTCTTGGAAAAATGATATTATAGGTACACCGTATTTCAACTGTTATCCATCGGATTGTGCATACTCAGAGTTCAGAATTGTTTTCTAAAAATCGTTAGAGCTAAGCTCTTGGTCATGGAGTGGAGTGAGACATCTAAATAATTAATGTCATCAACATTTTCAGTGAACGTTTGAATTGAAATAATCAGCAGGTCTATCATGCATGTGATTACTAAAATGACGACACACCTAGTTGTTTGTTGACAACTTCTAGGGCCTTCCTTCCTTCATTGAGGACATCAATGACAAACCATGACTCTGGGACGATCCCGTGTTCAAAACTTGTGATGGGTTTATCATAACAACACTGCGTCATGCGGTCATATAGTAGACTTGTCAGCTAAAAAACACAATATATTGAATGTAAAAATCCGTTGAGTTAAAATTGACGAAAAGTTCAGAGGGTGCAGTGAAAAATCTGAGATTAGGGTTCACCACATTAACGTGTGAAAATCAGAGACATTCGTCACGGCAGAGAACCTCATTAGCACCCTTAGTACTACAATGCATGTCAGGGCAGAACTTATTCCAGATGAGTGATTTGTATATAGACTAGGGAGCATTCTTATAAGACAACTATTTAATGTAAATTTCAACGTAATTAATAACGTAAATTAAATCATCTGTAACTCTTGGAAAGCTTCTGAGAAATTAATTTGCAACATTATAGTTACCTACTGTAGTCGTTTGATTCAAAGTGATTATATACTGATGGACTATCCTCAGGATAGAGATGTACACCTACTATTGAAATTTTGCCTTTCTTGATCAGACAAGATCAGATTGGGCAAAAATATTTATACGTAATTGGGTGGCTAAATCATTTGATACTGTTACCAAATTTCAGTCGAGTCAAATATTGGAATTGCTGTCCGCAACTTTCTTGTGATTGACAAAACCACGATTATGGGATCAAATAAAAGGCGAATCCAAGTGAGATAATTGGTCACATAACTCTAGTAGCAGCCAACTGAAAGTCGCATTCTAGACCACTGATGACTCTGCGTGCAGAAAGCTTCTTCAACAGACACTCAGTCTGCTAGAAGAAGTTAAAATATCTTCAACTTCGCTGTAGAAAATCATGAAAATTACCTAGCTAGCGGTATCGAATACCGTGATCTTGATATTTAAAACTTTTTCCTTGAAAAATTAAATTGATACACATTTCAAAAGCCATATTCAAGATTATGGTTCTGTGCACTATCTTCCCGAAATAGCCGTTAATTGAGGAGACAGGTGGAACCACTTGAATTTTCGGAGGCATGAGTTCTCAGAAACAGAACTCGAACACACAAAAGATTTAAAATTTGTGAAAAGAGATGAACTGGTAAGAAACTAAGCTTTCGGAGCACAGCCGCACACCGTGAGATAATTGAGGTTAGGCCCGAAAGTAAACAAAACAATAGTGCCGTCAGCGCAAGCGCCATTGGTCAGTGCATTCCCGCGCATAGGTTCCCGCGCAATTCTAGTGAGGCGCCATTGGTCAGTGCATTCCCGCGCATAGGTTCCCGCGCAATTCTAGTGAGTTGCAGTAGCCAATCATATCGTGATTTTCATTGGCGGGGAAAAGCGCAAATTTCGAATTGACGCACATGCAAAAAAAGTGCGTTGCCGACTAGTGTCTCATCCTGTCAGACTCCTTCACCTCCAAATGACAATGGACGTAAACATTAAGTTAGAAGTAACCTAATCGGCTTAAAATAATGACGCGGAGGGCATTAAAAAAATTTTAAAGTTTTTTTTTTTTTTTTTTTGAGACTGGCTTAAGATCATTTTTACCGTGATCACACCATTTTGCCGAATAGCTGTCCTCTTGGATCAATGTAAAGACTTTCAAGATTTCCCTTACCTCTTCAACAATGTCGTTTCCGATGTCGAGACCATCTTGTTCCCATTTGATGAGATAACGAGTAAAAACCTCAAGACGGGTGACGAACGTTAGACCAATAGAATGACATATTGATACTGCGTTACTCGAGAATGGGGTGGAGAAATTTAACCTGTTTGAAATAGAAAAGATCGCAAGGGAATGAAAAATAAAAAAAAATGAAAAAATTAATGAAAATTAAAAAACTACAAGGTAGATGAACAAGAAAATAGAAAAAAAAGGAAATAATGCAAATGAAGAAAAAGTTAATACAGTTTTAACTAGCGAGGTCTGTCTCTTATCAAAATCGTGTTGAGGAAAGAAGACGAAGAAGAAGAAGTGGACCGCGTTAAACAGAAAGGAACCAAGCCACATCAGCTATTGCCAAATTTAACAGGGAAATTTTATTTTTTACGAGAGCTCGTTTGTGCGGATTTCTATGAAAATTTTAAGGAATATGCTTTGCATTATGGCGAAAATTCACTGAAACTTGCACAAAAATCCACACGACCGTTTTCATGTAAAAAACTAAATTGCCCGATTAAATTTGGCAATAGCTGAAGTGGCTTATTGGTTCCTTTTTGTTTAAATTGGTCCAAGTAGAAGACGATGAGTAAATCAAATGGGGCGCTTAAGGATAATGGCTTTTTAAGAGACGACCATGAGTGCGATCCTACGTGAATTTGAGTTTTTTTCATGTTTTTTTACATACATAAAGCCGCTTTTATAGCGCCGCCTCGCGCTCTGCGACGCCCAATCGCCATTGCCCCCTATCCTCCCAGAGATCATCAGGCAATTGGCACCTTCTGATCTCCTCCTCCACCCCTTGTCACCAACCTTTCACAGGACGTCCACGCCGTCGCCTTCCGGGAGGAACCCAATCGAAGACCTGCTTGGGCAACCGATCTTCTGCCATCCTTCGCACATGTCCATACCAGACCAACTGCTAGGACCTGATATCGTGCACGATGGCCTTCTCCACACCCATTATCTCGCGTACCTTTTCATTGCGGATACGCTCTCTTCTCGATATCCCAGCAGACCTTCGCCAGAAGTCCATCTCGGTTGCCCTAAGCATGTCTTCAGTTCTTTTCTTGAGTTGCCAGACCTCACTCCCGTAAGTTATGATACTCTTCACGATGACGTTGTAAATTTCATCATCGTTGTAAATTTTTGATTCAGGACTGTGAAGAGTATAATTATCTGGGAGTTTGGTTAACTAAGGACGGTAATTTGGATCGGGCCATTAAAGATCGGAATGTGCAAGGCAGGAAAGCTATCGCGATGCTAAATGGGGTTCTCTGGGACCAGAGTATCTCCAAGGAGACCAAAAGAAAAATTCATGTTTTTTTTATTTGATTAAAACCTATAATCGAATTTTTCGTGCAATACCTGGGTCCGATTTCGATTAAAGAGCTGCCCAAATAAACTCCTTTGAGGGTAGGCTCAGCTCTAAGGGCGGCTGCGTCGAAAGGGGAGCTGAGAATCCATCTGAGTTTTTTCAGTTCCTCCTCCGTGGGCACCTTGTTGATCTCGACGTTGAAGCAGAGCTCAGTGTTGAGTCCGGCGATCAGACACGATTGGTTCCGCAGGGTTTTCAACTTGGCCGCGGTTACTTTGGGGTCCAATCCCGGGAATTGATAATACCGGATCATCACCATCCTTCCAGTTTTGTGTTCCTGATTGAAATGTAACATTCATCGGTCAAATCGAATAACAAAATTGTGTCGCGCTTTTTCCATTAGAACTGAAATTCTAAGCACGTGAAGGAGGAAAAATTGGACCGCATTAAACAGAAAGGAACCAAGCCACATCAGCTATTGCCAAATTTAATCAGGCAATTAATTTCTTCCATAAAAACGGTTGTGCGGATTTTAGTGCAAATTTCAGTGAATTTTTTCCATGGTGCGAGGCAAATTCCTTAAAATTTTCAAAGGAATCTGCACAAACGTTCTCTCGTAAACAATTAAATTGCCCCCTTAAATTTGGCAATAGCTGATGCGGCTTGGGTCCTTTCTGTTAAACGCGGTCCAATTGCTCATGAACGATGATGTTAACTAAATCTTTCTCTCTCAGGAGAATGTTCAGATGATTAAGCTTAAATGCAAGTTTTAGAGCAGCCTGATTGTTGGAATTTTGTGTTTGTCGTCCGGCTAAGACAAGATTAAGGAGAATTGAGTTCTGTGACTGGTCAGTTTTATCCTTCGCCCTATTTTTATCGCCGATAAATGATGTAATCATCGAGAACCTAAAGGCAATCTTGAGTTGCCGATACTATGTTGTTACTCAATATTATTCGTACTAATATACACTAATAATAATATACTCGAATTCTGGTTGAATCAATCCTTTATCGGCGCGAAAAAGAGCACGAAGGATAAAGCTGACCAATCACAGCACTCAATTCTTCTTAATCTTGTCTTAACCGGACGACAAACACAAAATGTCAACAAGCTGATGCTGGAGGTATCTGTGAGTTCTGTGACGTTTTACAGCTGTTCTTTCCGCAAATTTTAAGAAAACTGCATCACTGAGTCAAAGAGTCAGGAAACCGGTGACCGGTGATGAGCCACCAAAAATGATTTTCGGAAAACAATAATAATCAATTTTCTTATCGTTTAAAAAATAAAATTTGCTAGTTAGGAAGTCTTGATACGTATTTTTGCAAATATAAGTGATCTTTTCCGAATGCTCAATGTTAGTGCCCTAAATTGTTTTGTCACTTCTCTTAGACAGGCGCCAGACTGGCCGGAAGTCAAGAGAATCTTCAGACTGAACACATTCCTGTACTTGTCTATGGCAAAATTAGCATGGTCTAATGGGAAGCACAAATAAAAACTGAGAACTCCTTCAATTTGGTGGCTGTGCAATTTGAGCTACTTATAAGCCGCAAGTTTTGTACCATGTAATTAAGTCCTCTATAACCGTTTCAGCGGTCAATAAATAAGATGTGGCACAGCGTTGGAGGCAAAGAGATGAATAGTGTAACCTCCGTTCCTCCCCCCTTCCTGCCCCCCAGCCGAAAACAACTCAATCTATACGATTAAGGGAGTTTTGAACGATGTATCTACACGACTCAGGATGAGAAGGATATATGTACAGAAAAAAATCTTAAGCTTCCACATGGGCTAAGATTTTTTTCCCAGCAATTTCTTATGGTAAATCTCACAAAGGTATGTAAAGAACGCTTTTCTGTAGAAGCCTAGCTGAGGCGAAAAAGGTCGATCATGATAAAAGGCGACAGCGAGCTGGAGTGAAACGTGGCAAAAATTGATTATAGAATCAGCAGTTCAGTTAGGTTGACATCGTAAACGAATTACTAATCAGAGAGGTTCTGTTCCACTTTTTGCCAATTTTCAAGACAATAAAACATCTAATGTCGTCCGTCGATTTTAAAATTGTAGTAGCTCAAGTATTTGATTTGATTTTTTAATTTATCCAATCGCATGAACATACGCATTTTTTGAAAACAGCTTTTGTTTTTTAAAAAAAATAACTTTTCTGGATTAAAACCGTTTGCGATTCCCAATTCATTTTTGTAAACTTTTATTAATAAACCCAGCATTTTGAGATACCCATATGCTTAAATGTGCAGAATTGAATTTTATGGACGGACATAACATACTTATGTAACAGTCCCTCCCCTCCTTTCCACTTTATCTATCCGTTCATGTAAGAAGTTTATGTAAGGGGTATATTGAACGATAAAGTATTTTGACCTGGCATAGGGAGGAGGCTCTATTCTTTGGACAAGATAAAATCATGAGGAAAAAGACGTAGAGACTGTGTGAAAGGAAATGAACGAATGAGGTTTCAGAAATGCAATTTCCACACCATTGAATAATGTGTGCTCACAAAAGATAGAAATATGAACTTAAACTTAAAACATTTCTGATTGCACATGCCAAATTTTTTGAACACCTATTTAATGACGTACCTAATTAAATTTATTATATTTTGATAAATGACAATAATGTGCTAGAATGTACTTTCAACAGCTGTTTTTATTAGTGGAAAACAGCGCAAATTAAGTAGTTGAATAACAAATACAAATTTGGTTAATCTGACAAATTAAGGTAACATCCAGTAGATCTACTTACGTTCGGTTAAAGGACCAATGAAATGAAGGAGATGCTACGAGAACTAATAATAAGCACGAAATCCCTACAGATTTCACTTCATAATTTTAAAATATTTAACGTTCTTGTGTACCTAATATTTTTGCGTTACGTTCAATGAATTTTCACTATGCATACACACTGTATACACCACTTAAAACTTGCCGGATAATCGAAGCGACGTCAACTCAATCAGGTAAGAACGAAAGGAAACGTTCAAAATAAGGGTTCGCTGCTTTCTGCGAACCTCTGATCAGTCTCCGATTGGTTTCGCTGACGAGAATGGGCACATGGTTTCGCCGAAGAGAAAACCGATAGTAAAATAATAAAAAATGTAAAAACAATAGAAAAATATGAGACAGGAAGGGGACACTCGCTGATTGGATCGCGTGTGAGAGAGAGGAGTTGAATCGGGCCGGAGGCGTAAGATAGAGAGGGAAGACTAGGATTGGAAACTGCTGATACGATGGTAATAATCAACATGTTGTGGATTGGGAGATGACCACAGTAACCTTTGACCACAACTCCACTGGGAGGCTTGTGTTTTCAATACGTTGACGGAGAAGAGAGAGGTATGCGTTGATGATGCTCGCGCGTAATGCGGAGCGTCGAATAACGTAAAGAGTTGATAAGTTATCGTTCTTAGAGAAACTCGAGAAGATAAGAAAGGGGTATACAAATATATTTTCATTGGCATTTGGCTCATTCTTACCTCTTGGGCGAGTCTAACACTGTGAAGATCATGACTAGCTTCAGTTGCCGATTGCAGTCGTGCGGACAGTTGGACTGCAATAAATTCCGGCCCGGTCTAAAAACAACGTATGTGCCATTAGTTTCCCTATGCACATAAGTTTTTTTTCAGATGAACCAGAAATTATAGCTTCAAATTGCAAAATGCAGTCCAGTTTATAATACATGTCGCTGGCCGAAGTACAAAACCACGTATCTCCCGGTGGCTAGGCGTGCTTTGCGATCTATCGATATTTCCCCATTTGAAACTGTGGTAAATAATCGATTATTTAGGTGTTCGCTGCGAACACCCTGTCTATCGATACTTTTCCAGAGGTTTAAATGGCCGATCAATCGATATATCGCAAAGCACGCCACGCTACTGGTATCTCCAATGCGGTTTTTCATAATTTCCGTTCCTACCGCATTTTTTCGAGGAGGAACAAGCCAGCTTTACAGCTTAATACAGAATATTCTGCTGACGGAGAAGGAAATTCAAAGCAGTTTCTCAAAAATTGCACTAACTGGTTTCCCAGGGAACAACAAAGTACGGCAGGAAGGTCGCAAATGGAGTTACGTGGTTTCGCAGTTCGGCCATCGTTATAGGACTAAACTGACAATCGGACTACTTCTTTCAGCATATTTTAGAGACAACTTACATGTCATTGATTTTCCCATGAAGGTAGGTGATTTTACAAATGAGGCGGAAATAGTCACCCCTTATTGCAGAATAAAGTTCAATTTTTAGCGAGGTTTTGTAAATGCGTTAGGGTTAGTCAAGAACGCCCTTTAGGTAAACGGAAAAAAATGAAGTGGAATATGAAACCATAGTTTAAAACGATCAATTCTTTATCATTTGGTGCTATGAACACTCACTCAAAAATCTAAAAAATTGACTTTTTTGGGAGAATAAAGTGAGACTTTGAGAAAAATGCTGATAAATTTTTCTGGCTCTTTTGCCAATGTTGGGAACAATTCATTTCAACCTCTTAGGTATAACAATATTTATAATGCTAATTTTTTTAACCAGCCCAAAGAGTAATGAAAAGAGATTGGCATCGAAAACTGAGAATTTTTTTTTTTGGCCCAAAATCGAATTTTTGTCTGTGCTTGTTGAACGAGTTGATTTTTCATCTCAAGGGCGCTTTCGTCCAACTTCACCACAATAATCGTTGAAAATTTGTTTTTTTCAATGCTAAACCTGACGTCACGCGATCTTCTGTCGCATTCTAAAAGTGCGTCAAGCAAATATTTTGGACTCTCTCAGATATAGAATGTCATCAAAGCACCTTCAATTTATAATACCGCAAATGTTCATTCACTCTAGTTGATGAAGTTCGCCGCCACGAGGCAAGGCGTTAAAAAACACATTCATTCTCTTTGATATATTTAATGAACCTAATACGAGGGATGTACATACAAAAAAGACTGTTAGTAGTTTTACGATATTGGCAGGTGACAACTCCTTTCTATAGTTTTCGAGCCCACTTTTTCTCAAATATTTCTTAAGCTTCTTCATTCAGCATTTAATTTATTTCTCTATTTTCAAGCTCAAAAATCGCAACTTTAATGTCAAAACATTGAAATTTCTCCATTGAAAAATGCTACTTGGAAGTTAAAATTTTCTATTGTCTAAATATCTTCTGCACTAGGTTAAGTGACGGGACTGCAGTAGTCAGAGCTTCCGGTTCAAATAAGTTTTTTTAAGGTTTTCTTCTTAAAAATAGAGTGTTTTCCGAAAATGCCGCAGTTTGGAGCAGCGTCTTTCCCCAAAAATTTCGGAAAATCGTAGTTTTCTGTATTTTAACTACGAATGTGGATTAAAACTGATGGTAATGGGTATCGACTACCTACAACTTCTAACGCTAAATTCATTCATGGCTTTAAAATTATCAAGATCTTAAATAAAAGGGAGAATTCAGCCGGTTTCATGTGGTCTCGGATCTTCCAGAGGAAAAAACTTTTTTTTTTGCCATTTCCTCAAAATTCTCAAGAGCTAAGACTGGAAGAAGAATGTTAATGACTATTTTTCTAAATTATTTGACACTCGAAGCAATAGTGCCCTTAAAATAACATTTTTATCAGCAAAAAGGCAGGCTTTTCACTCTGGCGGTCCCAAGATTCCCTGCAACCATTTCAAATCCCCATCTAATATAAGATTTCGATATTAATTACTGAGGCCATATATTAATGCAGTGTTGAAAAATTATGAAGGATTTTTTGTCACTTTCCCCATAAAAGCCACTCGCTACACCAGCATGCGGCAGAGGTGCAGTGCAGTGACACGGTGTACTTTGCGATATATCTATTGATCTGCCACTTGAACCTATGGAAAAGGATCAATGAACAGGGTGTTCATATTGAACACCTTAATAATAGATTCTTTACCATAGCTTCAAATGGGGAAATATCGATAATCGATCGTTCCAGCTTCGCCACTGATGTAACAATGCATATGGATATATACTGCAGTCTTTCCTCCTTAAAAAATAAGCAAAACACATACCTGAGAGGATGCTAAATAACTAGTTACAGTAACAAAAACGTAAGAGGAATATTTCAACAAGATGTTAGAAAGCATGAAGTTAGAAAATCTTTTAACCAACTTGAAAGCTTCTTCACTCTATCTGGACACAATTTGCTGCAACACAATTTGCTGACTTGGGGATCGCTTGGTTGCTGAGATCTGCTAGCAGCTCGATCCCTGCCGATTTTTCTTGAAATTTGATTTTCCGAAATTTATTTTAGTTTTCTTTCATTATTTATTCTCTTTTTTAAATTTCTATTTTCCTAACTTCCGGTTATTAATAACAAATTTGTTTCCAAATTTGTTCTATTATGTTATCCAATGTTTTTAATGCTAGTTTATTTTCTCCAAAAATTTTTTCTCCATAAAATTCATGACCCTTTGATGTGATTAGAAATATGAAAATAGTGCTTCGCTTTGTAAATTTGATTTAATATTTTCTACCATCACTTAAATTTTTGTTAATCCATATTTTTTTTTTTTCATTTGGTCTCGTCATTTTTTAGGGGGAGTTTTTTAGGATTGGGCCGGGGTGGCTGCCGCCACCTAGAATCAATAAAAATGCGGAAAATGAGTATGCTCATTTTCTGAATTTTCCCATTGTAGTAGAAAAAAAGAACAACTGTTTTTTGTTTAGAGAGATTCATTTATGACTGCATGTTCATTCAATATAGTATATAATAATTTACAAATGTATAAACAATGTACATCTCCTTTGATTGCACAAATAATTAATTACAATACTAAAAATAAGTTAATTTGATGGCAATCAAACAGTAAAATAAAATATATATAGACCAGGAAAAGTCTCCGAATAAAACTCCTATGTTCCAGAGTATATGTTACAACTTGATAATTTACACAATGATCTTAATTTTGAAACAAATGAAATGAGTTTGTGCTCTTAAAATAGGTATGCAACTTTGTACATGATCAGGGAAGACCGCTCTTCAATGTAAGTGTATTATACTGTAGTTCGGCAAAATGGGTTCAACAATGATCCAAAATCAAGTTTTTCATGACTTGAGCACCTTTGTGTCTTGCACTCTGGCGTAAGAACCTTCAGTGTTGTATATTTAAACTGATTCATTATGATTTCTAAAAATCTGATCATGTATTACTCTAGTCAGAATAAATGCATGCAGAGGAGGTGAAAAGGTGAACAGTGAGTGTTTGCTCACAAGAGAGCAGACATGTTCACAGTTCATTAATACTCTACTAATAGAAATGCTAGCTATCACTCGAAATTTTTGAGCAGTGACCTGTTATTCCATAAAAAGTATGATTGTTTTCCAATATGTACTCACAATATCCAAATTAAGGATTAGGTGAAACAGAATACCTACCTGCTGTATTTCATACTACAAATGTTTGAAATTGGAGCGGCTTTCAAAATGAAAGTGCGTAAATCCTTCTTTTCCAAAGGCCTTCATCAAAAGGATCCTTTGTATTGAATCTTGAATTCGATAAAATGAACAGGTAAAAGTAACAAAATATTCGAGATCTTTGGTTACAAATAATTCAAACTTAATGAACAGAAATTCTTCGATAGGGCTTCTTACAATATGAGCAGCCAAGATGAAATTAATAAAATTCATTGTCATACTAGCGTAGAGCTGCTGAGCTGCAACGCGATAGCATATTAAAATTTGGAAAATGCATTTACTTCACATAGCAATGGTTACTTTAACAGTCTTGAAGATTGCTGTATAAATTAGCCTAAAATTAGTTGAAAGAATGACAGTGATGTAAATTGATCACATTTAAAACTTAGGTATGAATGTATTTAGATCTATCTTCCAACGTTTGACAACAGCAACGATTCCTGTGAGCTTATTTATAGATATTGCACCAACTTAAATTAGAGATCTGATTTGTAGAGTCTGAAATCAATTTTCAAAGGACATACAGGGAAAATTACACATACGATTACAGTGAAATTGTAACATTTCTTTCTTTGATCATGACAAAATAAAATATTGCTATTAACAAAAATGAAAGAGGAGAATCATATTGCACAAAATGTTACGATATGCTTAAAAATTGGGTGAGAGGTAAATGGAAAGCTCATTAAGAATATAATATGTATTTGTGTGTTAATGTAATTTAGCCCTCCGAATTTCGTTGGTTTTACTTTATTTTATTTATTTATACATATTTTTTTATAAACTATTAAAATCTGACTGGACACGATTTATACTGGATTAAAACCTTGTAGGATTGATAAACATTAAAATAGCTGAAGCACAAATTAGTCTTTGGTTTATGCAAACAAATTTTAGGAGGTGACTGATTTCCTTTTTAAAACTTGATCTAGTAAAAGAGAAATTCTAGAATCATCAGTATAAAATTTTGTAGATACATCTTCAGAATAAAATTCTGGTCATGTGCCACTTCACACCATTCTATTATTTCATTTAAATATACTTTTCACGATCACTCAAATCAAGACCAATCCAAACAGGTCAGTCATTGCGCAATTTTTTTTTAAATTCACTCCTCTGCCTGACCTTTACTTGACTGCAGCAAGTATGACGTGAAATTGACTGTTCCCATTAGAAATGCATTGCTTTCAAACTTCCCGCCACCAATGCGCAGAGGAATTTGAAAACTTGTCCACGGACATGACTGACCTGTGTGAATTGGTCTTGATTTAAATGTAATTTTCGTGCTATAACATTAAGACACAGCATATTTACAAAATTCTGCTATGATAATATGAACCGTAAGTACACGCCAGATCCACCATAACACATTAATTTGGAGAACACAAGAGAGGCGGTACAATGATGTACCTATGTAATCAATTTTACTATAAATGTTTGACTCGAGGTTATTTAATTTTTGTCGAGATCGTTTCGATGCAATGATTTTAGATCTTTTGAGGGACCAAATAAAAAACAGAAAAATTGCAACAATTCAAGAGAGAAATCAGATCAATTAGTAACGTTATTTTGAAGATAGGTTAGCCTCAAGAATGATAGATACGAGAGTCCATGCCTAAAAATTTAACGCACTTTGAGACTGCAACAGAACATTGAGTGATGTCAATTTAGCATTACATTCTTGCATTTACTTTCAATGCTAAACTGACATCACACGATCTTCTGTTGCGATCTAAAAGTGCATGAACTTACTTAGCGTGGAATCCATGATATTTTGAAAAGAAATAGCCCATTTTATAACAGCAAAAATTACTAAGATCAAAGAAAACCCATCAGTCGCATACAGTTTGCATCAAGAAACACGGTTCTTTTCAACTTGTTGAGCACTCATCCAGGAAGGCCAAACATACAGTTTTATTATTATTTGAACCTTCTCCATGGATTCTGTTAATTTTTTTTATAGAACATTTACACAATTTTACATTAAGGACTGACAAGGAGGATTAAATATTATTATTATACGATCAAGAAATAAAATTCTTTGAGACGCAAGATACCAATTTCACTCTTGTTTCCATGTATGGAACGATCCCATCCTTTGGGGGTCATATCTGATCAGTAAGAAACTTCGCTCATAAAATCCAATATGATCCAGTTTTAAGGAAGCATTCAAATATCCATCAGGGAAGTGTAAAAATGCTTATAATACTGGAGGAAAGGAAGAGTATTGATCAAGAGGTATAAAATTCAGTAAAAAATGAGAGTATTTTGAGGATGACAACTCCTTTTTTGTAAAACTTAATTCAGTTCATGTTTCTTGATAGCTTGATTCTTTAAGATGTGGAGATTGAAAGTCCAAGACGAGCAAGCATCATTTCTTTTCGTAGTCGGATGATTTCCCAATAGATGTCATGGACTGAAATTGAAACAGAATAATATTAGAAACAAAAAAGTACAGTGTCTATTATATATATGTACTTTGTAAGAAGAACATAAAATGATACAAATGAATTTCATATTTATTTCAAACTTGGATGGTTGTGTAAATCGACTAATTTAAGCAAAAAGAAGCATACTGCTGAAATTATTATAGAAAGTTACTTTTTGTACTTAATTTACTAGAAGGAAAGTACACATAACTAGTGATTAAAAAAGGTGGTGATTTGATTCCTATCAAAATTTGATTCTCGGCAGAATAATTCATATTTTCACATATTGTGGAGGAAATTTGAAAAGGTTCAGAGATAGACGACTTTCAGACCTAGTCTGCCAAAATCAAGGACGGCTGATTGTGAGTTAACGCCGCAAAAATCAAGTTATCATTCAAACAATTTCTGAGCAAGTCATGCCAGTAAAACTTTTTTGAAATTTTTTTATTTCCGTTTTTTCAAGTCAATGAGTGAAGGACCATACAAAATGGAGGAAACTCTGAGACAAGATAGTGGTTACTTTTTTCTTTGATACCACCTATCAAACAAAGCTAGTTTCAGAAATGACTTGTTTCAAAGCTAAAATTTTGCAAAGTTAAATGAGCGAGGTGTGGAGATAGGCAGCAAGCCATTCCACAACTACTGCCTACAAACAAGAGTATTGCTTTCATTAGTATAACATTTATCAGCATTATGATTATCTTAAGAGTACAATAGGATAAAAATGCCCAACAATATACGAAAAGTGTAATCATTTAAAAAGTTTGATAATTTTTTCAGTTATTAATTTCTCATTCAAATAAGAGCACTCCTGCCTGAGTTTTAGTCACATTTGCCGTGAATTTTTTTCACATTCCAGAAACTTTATAAAAAGTTTTAATCTCATACTACCTACCTCCAGTTTTTGGGGAAAGAGTAGGTTCATGCAAAAAATCTACACAAAGGTGAAAGATGATAAGATTTTACTGTCTTTTTCAGAGTTGATACAGCAAAACAGGCCTCATATTCTTTGTGTCTTTGAAGTGACCTATTTTGTTACAGTTGTTGGGGGGAGGGGGGGGGGTCATAAATTTACAATATAGAAATTGTGCCTCACCTGAACTCTTAACAAGACCTCTTTGAATGTAACGCAAATAATTGAGGAAGTTGCAAACAGCTGTTATCTGTAGGCAAAAACAAAAAAGAAAATTAATAAGGTACAGTGAAAGATAGAAGAAGTTCCACTGACAGAATACGGCTCAATAGGGCAAAGGTTGTACATAGAGGAGGAGTCTTTTCTATGTTTATCAATTTGGACTGCATTTTGCAATTGGGAACTACAATTTCTGGCTCAGTCTAGAAAAAATGTAGTACCATTAGTTTCCCTATGTACATAATGTGTGTTATTTTTACAGATGAGCCAGAAATTGTAGTTCCAAACTAAAAGATGTTGGAAAATAAAAGCAACATTTGTCGCATTCCCTGCTCACCACTTTGACAACTCACTGAATATTTACATTGCTGCCCTTTTCGAAATTAGTGTGGACAAAATAGTTGGTTGGATAGGATTATAGTCCATTTCACGAAACCTGATATTTTTTATTCGGCATTAAAATCCGTAAATGGCAACGCATCAGTCCTGGCCGCAATGACCGGACCGCTCGCTAGACACCCTCTATTGAGCAGCTAGGAGAGGTCTGCAACCCATTCATTGTCAGGGTGGAAACAATGAGCACCCTTCATTCCTCCATCAAGAACCCTAGTACCCGGACCAAAATTTTTTTGCCGTTGAAAAATTCATCTTTTGGTGTAAACCTTTAGTTCCAGTGCTAGATTATGATAAAAACGAACTAAGTTATACTAATTATCCGTCCAACATCTTCATTTTGAGCTGATATACAACATTTGTTTATAACTGCGATTGCCGCGAAATGCCTGTGCTTGGATGATCTTTTTCTCTCTATAATGAGACATCATTTATAGACTAAATTTGAACCTAAGTTGGAAAACCACAATCTGTTCCTTAGGATAAGACGGTAACAATTCAAAAAAAGAGATTTGCTGGCACTTACCCTATTCCTGCATATTTGAGATATATGATACCATGTTTCACTATTGCTTAATCTTAAACGATAATTACAAACGCTTTGGGAATCTAGCAAAACACATTTCCTGCAACAAAATAGAGGATACATTAATATGAAAAGTCATGCATTGTTGAATGGTCCAGTTTGATTGAAGATTTTTGAAAAATCTCTAATGCAGTTACAAATACAAGTTGACTTATGAAGGGGTGGTAGAAATACAAAACAGTACTGTGTAAGAAGGACCAGCAGATATTCTATCAAATATTTGTAAGATACTGAGATTTTACCATATGGATAGTCAGAAAGCTGTACAAATTTTTTCTTAAAGTAAAAATAGCAAACATTGGATTTTGGTGACTGAAATAAGTGTTTTCAACTACACATCCCTGATTCAGTGATCGTAATAATTTTAGGATTCGTTTTTATTTGACCTTTGATGGGTTTGCTTTTTCAGCATTACTTCATAGGGAGCATAAGCAGAGCTAGGAGGAACTTGAGAGGGGTTTGGCTTCTTCGGAAATCTACTTGGCTCCTCACAAGAAATGTGAGGGATTTTGCTAAGTAAGTGTAACATGTCAAGTGTGGCATGTCTTTCATCCTTGAAAGTTTAATCGAACAACTTCTCTGTGAGAAAAGCCCAAAACTGCTCTAACTGCGACTCTATTTTTCAAAATTTTTTGCTCCTTGGCTCAATATCCTGGAACTTACAAAGACAATACATTTTTGCTACAAGCTAATTTAATTTAAATTGATACATTCACTTACTTTGCAAACGGGGATTTCATTTTTTCACTCACAGCCTCAATAAAAATATCTCCGTTATCAACAGCCGTCCTTATTTCTTCAGCAAGTTGAGTATTATTAAAATCAAGACATTGTTCTATGTCTTCACGATATATCCTCGCGATGAACTCATTCGATTTATCTAGAGTAGGGTTTTGTTTCCATGCAAGAAATTCTTTATGGAACACAGGATCAACCTGGAAAATAAACCATAAAATTCAGTAAGTAATCAGAGAAAAACAAGGAAAACTAAGAGAAAAGGAATAAAAATGAAAACATAATGGAGAAAGCGCGGGACAAACAAAAACCTCTTTAATATTTTACAGATAGAAATTTTGAATTTGACTGGAAAAACAATAAGGTAGAGACTGTCTTATACAAGTCTGAAAATCCAAGACCAGTATCGGAGAGGGATTGTACTCTCTAGGGAAATAATGGGCTCTCTTCAGCATCATAAACCGTCCGCCTGAAACCCCACAAGAAAGAAACAGAGAAAGTGAGCAGGGATTGCGGCCACACTGAAAGATCTTGTGTGTCAGTTTTATGAATTCATCCCCCCCCTTTTTTCTTTTTCTTCTTTGAGAGTTAAAGGTATTTCCAAGTTATGTTCTGTTGAAAAAGCAGGTATGTGAAGTTTCAATTTTCAATTTGTATCCTTGACATTTGCTTCATGATCATGACAGAGAAGTAAAATCAACTACGATTGATGTGTAAAAATTAATCAAACACAAATTGGTTTATTATTGATGGGTTGATTTTTTGAGATGCTAGTTTATTTACGAGGCTCTCTTTATTTGAGAATATTCTTTCGTCTTTTTGACACTATTTTGTGTTGGTTTGAAAAGGGCTGGAAGGAGAATACTTCAACCCTCACACATGTGGAACATTCACACATTCACAGATGGGTTCGACTTGAAAGTCCTCCACACAATTGGTGACAAATTAAAAGAGACACGATAAGACAGTACGTCTTTACTTACCTCGCAGTTTTCACTGCTCATGATAGAGTCTAGATTTGAGATGGGATTTTGTTCTTCAGTTGGTGAATCAGGAGGTGAGTTCTCACGCCCATACTTTAAATTAAAGTGAGACGGACATCTCCTATGTTTCTTCAGTCTACTACTGCTTGCTGAAAAAAAAAAAGCACCAAGGATATGGTTGTAAATAACAGAGCAAAAGAAAACAATAAGAAAAAACTTAGTTCAGTGGACTATAATCAGGGTGTTTACAGAAAATTTTATCTTGGATTTTCTTGGACTTCAATGGCTAAAGTGCGAAACCACGGAACTCCATTGCGGTGTTCCAAAATTTCCGTTCCTCATTTAGTTTTTTGAATAGAAACATGTAAGCCAACTTCATACATTGAAATTTTACAGAATATTTTGCTCACAAAGAAGAAACCTCATGGAAGTTTTCAAGGAATAACGTTGACTAGCTATCAAAAGAAAAAGTACAGTTTGATAGGAAGCTTCCAGTGTCGCAAAGTGAGATACGTGGTTTCGAACTTTGGCCATCAATTTTTATCTACTTCCAATCCGTTTTCGTAATTTATTTTTATTTCCTCTCTTGAGCAAATACTGTCCCCTCCAAAGTTTCAGCGACATGACGCGACGTTTTGTTAATGACACATTGAATGGACCCTAAATAAAATCAAGTAGGTAAAATGTAAAAGTTGATCATGAGCACAGTCCCAATCTAGCAGATAAAAAGTTGACTCGGTTAATTTACGACACGACGCACAGTGGATCGCACAGTTTATCAGAAAAGTCGGACATGAAATTTTTGACTTAAACTGCAAATTTTGATGTTTAAGTATTTCGTCAAATTTTGATGTTTAATTCGTCAAATTTTGAGGTTTATTTTATCAAATTTCAAATTTCAAGGGGCGCTAATGGATGAAAATTTCACGAGGAAACCAATAGAACCACTTTTAACATCTCAAAGTTTCGTATAAATGGAGTTATAAGCGTTTAAAGTTTCCAAATTTTGTCCAACCTCTCCTAGTGGAATCGATCCGTTGTGCAACGCAACGTGTTGTTAATCAAAAATTGAATGAAGAATAAAATCAAATAATGTGTAAAGGTTGATCCTGAGCACAGCCCCAATCTGGCGCGTAAAAAGTTGACTTTGTTAATTTACGACACGACGTTCAGTGGATCGAGTTAATCAGAAAGGTCGGACATGAAATTTTTGACTTAAACTGCAAATTTTGATGTTTAAGTATTTCGTCAAATTTTGATGTTTAATTCGTCAAATTTTGAGGTTTATTTTGTCAAATTTCAAATTTCAAGGGGTACTAATGGAGGAAAATTTCACGAGGAAACCAATAGAACCACTTTTAACATCTCAAAGTTTTGTGTAAACGGAGTTAGAAGCGTTTAAAGTTTCCAAATTTTGTCCGACCTCCCCAATGGAGTCGGTCCGTTGTGCAACGCAACGTGTTGTTAATCAAAAATTGAATGAAGTTATAAAACAATAAGAATAAAATCAAATAATGTGTGAAGGTCGATGCTGAGCACAGCCCCAATCCGGCGCGTAAAAAGTTCACTTGGTAAAATTACGACACGCCGATTCGTTTCGGTTACTGAAACGAGGAAGTGAAAGAGAGGTGCGGGATTAGCCCGTCATAAATTCGGGGGGTCCTTACGCATGGGACGAGGTCGGAGGCGCGCTATCCAGAATGGGATCACGAGTACGTTCACCCGCACGTAATACAATTAATTTGAATGTACTACACGCAAACATACTCTCACGCAGTTTCATAAGACACACGTACGCTCACGCATGCGCTCGAGGCCCGGGCTTGAGCTTGCATGCCAATGATTGATAAACTATGCAGATGAGTCGGATTAAGAAGAGGAAGACCGTCCGGTCGCCGCAATGGCGTGGCGTGAATTGCGATGTATCGATTGTTATGCCATTTAAACCTATGGAAAAGGATCGATAAACAAGGTGTTCGCAGCGAACACCTTAATAATCGATACTTTCCCATAGGTTAAAATGGCATAACAATCGATACATGCAATTCACGCCACGCCACTGGATCGCCCCGCTCGGGTTCGTATAATATACGGCGTCCAATTCACTTTTTACTCGAGCGATTCGATTTGATGCTGTAACTTAAACACAGGGGCTTCCTTTGCATTTAAAGTACCAACGTATACAAATATTATTTCAATTTGCGCACGGTGAGCCAAGTACAGGACTGCCCTATCGTCGAGCTTACATGATTAAAATCCACTTATACGGAAGAAGAAGAAGAGGGAGAAGCAGGAATTCAAAGTTGATTTAGTCCTGCGTAAAATTCTGCCGAGACTGAAAATTTGTAGCGCGGTATATTTTATTTTGCATTTAGAATCAGTTTATGTTTTAGTTAATGTTGAAACATTTTTCGAGAATCCCCCATGAAAAGACCATAAAATACAACTCTCTATTGGTGACAATATTGATTAAAGAGCTAAAATGTTTTTCAATGTGTATGATACGGTTCTTTTCAATTCGCCTTCAGCTGCGTCCGCAGCAATTGTTGTTACCAATATGTTGTGCGTGCTGATCTCAGCCTATTACATACTTGACTCTCTGAAGGCGTTTAATGTGCGAAACTAGAGAATCCTGTCGGAGAACAACAGAAGTGAGATTGAATGAATAGCTCAACCCCCACTTCGTTCGATCTCCGACAGATGGAGCTACTTGCGCACATAAAACGCCTTCAGAGAGTCGAGTATGTAATGAGCTGAAATCAGCACGCACAACATATTGGTAACAACAATTGCTTCAAACGCAGCGGAAGGCGAATCGCTTTGGCTCATAAAACGCCTTCAGAGGGCCCAGTAAGCAATGGGCTGAAATCGGCACGCATAACATATTCGGAACAACACTTGCTGCATTTGTTATGAAAATTTCAAATTGCCATACTTCGAAATTGGGATCAGTCAAGATTTTGATTTTTCGCGATTTTGAGTCCGCACGCACCATAGATTCACCCCCTGCAAACCGTTTTTGGGTGCATTTTTATCGCATTTTTTTGTTGCTTCAAGACCACTTGTGGAAGATATAAGTACGGAAATGTGCGGCATAGAATTGCAATTTTTTTGGGCTGCGATCTTTTTCATGCGTTTGAGAATCAGCATTTGGCTCCGCCGGGGAACCACCACCAAAAAAAAAAAGAAAAAACCTGTGGAAAATCGAAACTCTATTATAAGTAAATTTTCAACAGTGATTTCAGTCCACATCACTTGAGAATCACCCCCAGCAAAAAATAGATATTTTGAAAAAGTTCGGACTACGTCAAAATACTTTATTGATACGATTTCCTGGAACATAACACTAATTACGGAAGAGAAATATGTGAGCATTTTACGAGTAATTCTCTGTAAGGAGCTTCCGAGGAAGGCGGTCAAGCTAAGGTACTTACGAGTATCGGGGTCGTCTTTGTTCTTTTGGTCGTGGACCAAGTGGAGATTCGGTTTGCTGGGCGTGGAGGTGAGCACGAGGGTTTTGAGGGCTGCCACTTCTGCGGTCAGCACGTCGACCTGCATTGCTTTCTCCTTCAAGCTCCTCTCGGCCGCCGCTTGTTGCAGATTCGCCTCCCGCACCATTTTGTGAGCTTCCTGTAAAGATAGACCCGACAATTTTCAGAACTCATAATTTGAAGCTTAAATATTCGATGAGAGGTCTTGAATCTCCCGTTTTAAAGACTATCACCACTAACCGTGATAATAGACCACTAGACAAGGTACGAATTCAAGCAATCTGATACATGTATCTTAACCAGAATTTCACGTAGAACACGATTCGCGCAACGAAAATTACTGAAACCAGCTCCTGATGAAGATATTAACCTTTTTATTTCACATTGGTTACGCGGATTTTGAACTGCCCGCTCACAAGAAACTCAAAGCTCTACGTGAGTCAAATCGCGCACCACAACAGTTTCAGCTAGCCTCTCAATCGATCACTTTTCATAACCCACCATGTGTTGTTCAAATTATAAGCAATTTGCTACAGCTGAGCCCGCAAGCGTCAAAATTGAGGTTGCCAGATTTTTATATCGCAAAGACTGTCATGATAATGTTCAGCGCGCGATGTGAATCACGTAGGGCATTGAGTTTTAATGAGCGGGTGGTTCGAATTCACGCATCAGGAATCATTTAATATCATTGTAAGGAGTTAATTTCGGTAATTTTTGTTGTGCGCATCGTGTTTTACGTGAAATTTTGGTTAAAAAATATGTATCAGAATGCTTAAATTCGTACCTTGTCTAGTGGTCCATTGGATTTGAAAATTTTTTAAAAAAAATAGTCTTAGGAAAGAGAACCGCAAAATGCACAAATTCTTTTTTACTTTACGGAATTTTATTTCAAAACGACAAATGACAGGGCAGCTAGTCATAGCTAGAAGTCATTTTCAAGACAAGGAAAGAAGGATGTAGCACATAAATATTCGGATAGGCAACTGTGGCAGCACGTAAGATTTTCTTTCAGCCTATCTGATAAAAAGAAGGCGTAGAAGAAACAAAATATGTGCGTGACACTCATATTCTCTATGCCACTTCGTAGCTGCGAATTTTCCACAAATAACTTTTAAATTATGGATTCTCTGTTAAACGCGGCCTTGACTGAGGCAATTAAGACGTAGAAAAGGAGCTTTGGGCCGAGGAATTAAGGTTTGATTCGGAGAGAGTAAGGTAGGCCAAGTTTCATAGATGCAATATGCGCTCCTTCAAAACCTAATTAAGGTTTCAAAAATAAACATTCGAAATTGAAGTGGATTTTCAGCGCTACGGAAAACGATTCAATGGTCGATTGATCAATTAATAATTAATAATACTCCTGTCTAATTGATTTTTTTTAGTCTTCCCCATATGCGCCTGTGTATTTATTAGAATCAGATGTGATAGTATACAGGGTGGCCGAAAGTTTAGCATCTAAAAATTCCCTGACTTTTTCCAAACCTTTCATGAGAAATTCCCTTACTTTTGGACTCCAGAAAAATTTCTTCACCCACTTGCTCCAGAGGTAAGACAGCAGAAAAACCAAAATTTGGAAATTAAAAGCCCATAGCTTCGCACAGTTGTACCTAACTTCCCACCTCCACACGAAATAATTGAATCAGTAAGAATGAAAACAGGCCAATTGGGAAAAATGGAATTGTTCAAGGGACAGAAATACGAGTAGTTTACTTGAAATACGCTGGAGGGGGAATCACCACAACCGCATCAGCAACAATTTAAAAATTCCCTGACATTCCCTGATTTTTCCCAGTCCAGGGTGTCTACTAAAACAGGCTGGTCAAAAGTAAGTACTTTTACAGTACTTTTTCAGTACATTCTCAAGGAATTCAGTACCTCCTCCGACAGAAAAAATCCGTACTTTTTCAGTACCTCCATTTTACGGAATTAGAAAAATTTCAAAAATTTGAAATCGCAACAAAAACGACAAAAAATTAAAAAAATTCCGGACCTTTCTGCGGAATTTCCGCACTTTATCCTGATACTTCCGGACTGCCCTTAAAAAATCGGCACTATTTCCGGACTTGTAGACACCCTGCGGTCATTACGAATTCCCTGACAATTCCCGATTTCCCCGGTTTTCCAGACTTCTGTCCACCCTGGTATTTAGTTATTTTCTGTCTGATTGGTACTGTCTGAAAGTATGATAATGAAACGTTGGAGGAATGTGGTTACCTGGAAGAGGCTGGCGGTGAGATTCTCGAGTTTGGCCTCAACTTCCAAGGTGAATTTAAAGTTCTTCCCTGACACTTTCATAATTTTCCTGGACATTTCCAGGTTTTCCTTGATTTTTTAAGTTCCCTGACACTTTGATCATTTTCCCGGACATTTCCAAGTTTTCCCTGATTTTTTAAGTTCCCTGACATTTCCCGGTTTACCCTGATAACTGAGGCGACCCTGGTTAGACAAATGTGTTTACCTGGAAGAGGCTGGCGGTGAGATCCTCGAGTTTGGCCTCGACTTCCAAGGTGAATTTAAAGTTCTTCCCTGACACTTTCATCATTTTCCCGGACATTTCCAGGTTTTCCCTGATTTTTTAAGTTCCCAGACATTTCCCGGTTTACCCTGATAACTGTGGCGACCCTGGTTAGACAAACGTGGTTACCTGGAAGAGGCTGGCGGTGAGATCCTCGAGTTCGGCCTCGACTTCCTGGCGGATCCTGCTGAGGCGGGTGACCTCCTCATCCCTGAGCTTGAGCTCCTCGTTGGCGCGGCGGAGCTCGTCCTGGAGGCGCGCGAAGGCGTGCTCCTTGACTTCGGCCACGCTCCGATCCCAGCTCGAGGCCGCAGACTCCATCCCGCTGTCGGGCTCGGCCACCATCCCCGCCCCCACCCCCGAGGCCTCCCCCTCGGCCGCCGCCGCAGCCGCCGCCTTGCAGATATGCAACCCGTTCGGCTTCCCGCAGAGGGGCTCCGGCTGCGACGCCGCGCTCTCGAACTTCTTGATCGGCGAGTCCGTCGGCGAGGGGTAGATCTCCGAGGTGATGGTGAACGGCTGGGAGCCTTCGTCGGCCAGCATGCCCGGCCCCGGCCCGGCGCTCCCCTCGCCGCCCTCGCCTCTCACTGGCACCGCCTCCGCTCCGGCTGCTTTCGTCGAGCTTCGCCGCAAGTTGGACGGCGCCAGCTTGGCTCCTCTGGCCCTCCGCTCAACTCTGAAACACATCAAAATTACGTCATTTTAGCTACAGCTTTACTCCTTCCACGGTGACAAAAAACTGCACTGGAAAAAAAAACACACACATAGGATCTAGAGTCCAGACTCTTGAAAACACTGACAAGAAAAAATACTCTTGATTCAATCGGATTTTTGCTTGAATCAAAACGAAATCCGCTTAAATTAAGAGGCTTGGTTCTTGATTTAAGCTAGATTCTGATGGAATCAAGAGTACTTTTTCTTGTCGATGTTTTTAAGAGTCTGGACTCTAGATAGAATGTGTTTTTTTTCCAGTGTGGCTAACCTATAAGGGGAAAGTACGGACATGTCGGTAATTTTGAGGATAGGTCATGGAGCTTGCAGCTTTTGGAGCCCGAAAGGACAGCCAACCTATGAACTCCAACTATCCAGAATGATTTATTATAACAATTCTTGCGATCCGTCGCGTCATTGGCGGATCCACCAAATTGGCAACACTGTTTTTTCCATTTAAACCTATGGAAATGTATCGATTCTTGGAAGGGGACAGGTGCTCCAACAAGAATCGATTAGTTAATATAGGTTTAAATGGAAAGAATCTGGTGTTGCCAAATTGCTGGATCCAACTCAGCGTCGTGTCGTGTCCTTTGTAAAGCACGTATTTGACTTAGTTAAATCATTAATTTACTTATTTTTACGGAAGGACGTTCATTAATGAACATTCTTGGACATCTTGGTTTGATATTGGAATCTGACGATTGGCAGCGGCATATTTCTGGTGTTTTTCGAATTAGAAGGTTGGCTGCCCTTTTTAAGACCTGCGACAGCTCCATTATTCAACATGCACACACTCTTTCCATTTAAAGACTCTACAATAAACACTTCGGTGCGAAGGGAGCGTTAATGAAATACGTAACGCTCTATGAAAGGGGTTGAGGAGAGCGTTACACCATTTCATACTTACGTGTTGAAGGATAGTACCCTACGTCACAAAAATGTTACAATGGAGGAGGAAGGGGTGTGTGTGTGTGTGTTCAAAAATAGTCTTTGTGTTGGCCACAACCGGAGGCATTACAGGATTTCTCGGGAAAGTTTAAATGATATTGGTTGGTAAAATCCAAAATCCCCGACTCTCGCAGCGCCTCTATTGCATAGAGTACATAGAGTCGTAATGTAAATGGGAGAGCTGGCGCCATGTTCTGCTCGACGAGTTCCGAGCCCGGTGTGCGCCGAGTTCGGGTCACTTTTTCGATACATTTTCGATCCAAAATGGCGGTGTGGAATACATGGTGATTCCTATCTCCTTCGTTGTTGTTGTTGTTGTCATCGGATGGCCGGGTACCCGTGTATCGCAAACAATCGATTATGTATCGAAAAAGTGACCCGGCGTCACACAGGAGTCTCGGAATTCGGGACATGGAAAATGCTTAAAAGTGGCGCCAGCTNGGATCTATAGTCCTGACTCTTGAAAACACTGACAAGAAAAAATACTCTTGATTCAATCGGATTTTTGCTTGAATCAAAACGAAATCCGCTTAAATTAAGAGGCTTGGTTCTTGATTTAAGCTAGATTCTGGTGGAATCAAGAGTACTTTTTCTTGTCGATGTTTTTAAGAGTCTGGACTCTAGATACAATGTGTTTTTTTTCCAGTGTGGCTAACCTATAAGGGGAAAGTACGGACATGTCGGTAATTTTGAGGATAGGTCATGGAGCTTGCAGCTTTTGGAGCCCGAAAGGACAGCCAACCTATGAACTCCAACTATCCAGAATGATTTATTATAACAATTCTTGCGACCCGTCGCGTCATTGGCGGATCCACCAAATTGGCAACATTACTTTTCTCCATTTAAACCTACGGCAATGTATCGATTCTTGGAGGGGGCCAGGTGCTCCAACAAGAATAGATTAATTAATATAGGTTTAAATGGAAGGAATCCGGTGTTGCCAAATTGCTGGATCCAACTCTGCGTCGCGTCGTGTCCTTTGTGGAGCACGTAGTTGACTTAGTCAAATCTTTAATTTACTCATTTTTGCGGAAGGACGTTCATTAATGAACATTCTTGGCCATCTTGGTTTGATATTGGAATCTGACGATTGGCAGCGGCATTTTTCTGGTGTTCTTCGTACTAAAAGGTTGGCTGCCTTTTTCGGCCCTAAAAGCTCCATATATCGAGATTTCCATACTCTCCCCATTTAGGCACTCTGCAAGAAACACACTTCGCTGCAAAGGGAACGTTCATAAAATACGTAACGCTCTAAGGGAGGGGTTGAGGAGAGCGTTACGCCATTTCATATATACGTGTTGAAGGATAGTACTCTACGTTACAAAAGCGTTACAAGGGAGGATGAGGGAGGGGGAGGGGTAAAAATACGGGTCTGATTTAGCCAAAACCAGTGGCAATACCGGATTTACCAGGAAAATTTAAATGTCATTGGTTGGTAAAATCCAAAATCCCTGGCTCTCGTGGAGCCTCTATTGCAAGCTAAAAAGGGGATTACACACTCGAACACTACGCTGGATTTGCATCGCTTGCTGACATTAAAACGGGGAGGGCTTAATCACGCCGCTGGCGTTCCCACGCGTGATCGTGAGCGAAAAACTGGCGACCGGTGACGAGTGCAGTGTCAGTGCCGGTGCAGTGCGCGGTGCACGCATGCATATGCTTCAAACAGAGCGTGCGGTGCGCTCGGCTCGGCCCAGGTCGATGCGATGGCAAACACATCTGCTCTGATGCACTTCTCATCCTCGTCTCTGCTCCGCTCTCCTCTCGCTACCGAGCTAGATTAGACATCCAGCGTTGCCTTGCTGTCGCGAGAAAGGGTCTCGCCAGGGTCGAAATGTCGCAGGCAGGGCAGTAATTTTTCATGGGAAATAAAATCTTGAAATTTCATGTGAAATGTTTCATGAAATTTCAGAAAAATATGACAAATATTTTTTGGAATTAAATCCAAAATTAAATGAAAGGCACCTAGTTTTTGTTGTTTGGTGTTTTATGGTGCGTGTTGTATACCCAGCCCCAAAAAATATGTCTCAAATTTTTCACAACTTTATGAAATTTCACGAAATACTTCATGGAAGTTGTCAATATTTCTTATTTTTCATTTCACCCGTGCAACCCTGGTCGGAGGCGGGGGGCCGGTTGCAGAATCGTGATTTCATTCGGGAACCCTACATGGATTTGGTTCGGATAGGCAACTAAGCTAACTTCCTGGCAAAACGGATCGTATCGTTGAAATTTGAAGGCGCTCTACACCGAGGTCGCGCTTTAGAAGTTCTTTACGGATGAAACCTTTACAGGGTGTTCACTAAAATTTAATTTAGGATTTTCCTAATTTTTCTTGATATTTTAGATAAGATTTCCTTATTTTTTGCGCGAATAAACAGGCACTCGTTTGATTGAAAAAAACAACATATTTAATTGAATGAGTCAAATGTTTGAAAAATGCCAAAAGCAGTCAGAATTTCTTGATATGTTATCGTAACCTTGTTTGACTGAAAATTTTCACAGCAAATCATAGCTTTCTAAATCGAACCACCAATAATTGCAACAATCGCCACCAATAATTGGACCGCGTTAAGCAGAAAGGAACCAAACCGCATCAGCTATTGCCAAAAATTGGGCGATTTAATTTTTTACGAGAGAAAGTTTGTGCGGATTCTTTTGAGAATTTCAATGACTTTGCTTCGAACTTAACAGAAAATTCACTGAAATTTGAAAAAAATAAATTGCCCAATTAAATTTGGCAATAGTTGATGTGACTTGGTTCCTTTCTGCTTGACGCGGCCCAATTAAAATTCAGCCGAAATACTGCAGTTGTAGGGAAGCAGGCGGATTAGAGAATATTCCAAACACTGGTCAGTACGAACGCCTAATGGCTTTCCGACCAAGTTGGCACCAGGTTTCCGCTGATTCCCGTGAGCAGTGAGTAAGCTAGGAAACAGAGCGGCAAGAAAACACGGATTTCTTCTAGGAACCACAGCTTGCGGTCATAGCTCGTAGGAAAGCTCTCGCTGCGTACCTGCTTCAAGGGGCCAGGTGAGACCTGGCTCAGTGGCTTGGCGTGCTTTGCGATACATCGATTGATATGCCATTTGGACCGACGATAAAGGATCGATAAACAGGGTGTTCGCAACGAACGCCTTGCTAGTCGATCTTTTACCATACTTCAGATGGGGAAATATCGATAATCGACCATTCACGCCTCGTCACTGGCCTGGCTGCTCCGTAGGGCGTGGAAAATGATAATGTTTTCCACCTGCAGCTCAGAGCTGGGGAAATCAGACATCGTGAAGTGAGTACGACCGCGTTCCTGCGCCTCATATGTTTGGTCATTCTTACGCTACGTTTATCCTTCGTGCTAAATAAGTTTGCAGTTTCAAAACTTCCGAAAGCGTCTCAAATTAATTATTGGTAAAGCGCCACATATTGATGGCTAAAGTGCGAAATCACGTATCTCCATTGCGGAGTTTTAAAAAGTCCGTTCCTATTTGATTTTTTCGAGATGAAACAAGATACCTTCATAGCTTGAAATTTTTGCAGAATATTCTACCAACGAAGAAGAGAAATCAAGCAAGTTTTCGAGAAATTACGTTAACTAGTTGTCCAAGAAAACAATAAAGTATATGTATGACAGGAATTCAACGACGTCGAAAACAAAGACACTTGGTATCGTACTTTGGCAATGAATCTTTTGCCTTTCTCATATGCTGCGTTTATCCTTCATCCTAATTATTATGTTTGCAGTTTCAAAATTATTGAAACAACAGCGTC